GGTGACAAGGCCGGGCCGCTAACCGGCGCATGAAGATAGATCGTCCGTCTGCTAAGCTCCGTTGCATATAGTTGTTTCCGAATTGTCAATGGAAAAGCGTCGCATGAGAAACAAAACGGTCGATTTCGGTGGCAGTAGAAAGTAATAATTGCAGTAGTAAGAATATTTTCCGTTAAGTGGGAGACCGGTTGTTGGCGACAGCAAGCGAAGAGAATTAGTTGTTACGCTTCGCCGTAGCTGCTGCCACCGAGGCACCTGATATCGGACCGTGACGCTTGTCGGACATGTGTCGCTCTGCGAGCGGGATGAGTGAGAGACTGTTTTCAGCCGCTGGCACCCTTATGGTTCGGTTAGCACACCCTCACCGCAACGCAGAGAGAATACCTACGCTGCGGTTGGGTAACAGAAGCTTGCCCGGGTACAGGCGGGAGGATTGCTAGCGGATTGCGGCGAGGACAACCCCGGATTTCTACACCTGTCCAGCGTGTGTCAAGTGACCTAGGGCGAAAACTAAGTTTTGTCCTCGGGAACGATGGTTTGAGAAGTATTGAGAACGGCGTGTCGGTTGGTAACGGCGTTGTCTTGTTTTTCTCCAGAACAGTCGCAGTAGGGCCAGTGCCGTTGTGAAGTGAGGCGAGACAGTTGTCGATACAGAGGTCGAGAAACAACCGAGACCAGTTGGAGCAGTGCCAAGACGCCCGAGGAAAGGGCAGCTTGTCCAGTCGTCACCGGCGCATCTGCTGTATTCCAAGCGTCGAGGCACTTGCTGCAGTTGATGTGTCCAAATCATCCAGAGTCCCTTGGATCAGTGGAACCACTTGACCGATGAATTGACTCGTGGCAGCGGCAGGTGGCAGCATCGCTGGCGCCGGTTATCTGCCACTGGCACTGACCAGCGAGGCGACTGTGCAGTATTAGTGAACCTAGGGTCGCCGGCGTTGGACACGGCCTGCAGCAGCTCGAGGCCTGAGTTGGTCTGGGCTACTAAGGGGCGTTCGGTACGGATACCTACACTGCCCTGCTCATCTACCATCAGATTACTTTGAAGTTAGCTGGTGAGCAGATTTTCAATGGGAAATGATGAAATACGTACCAAGGTTTGGGCCTCTTGATGACCGTCGATGGTCCATGAGCCCATCCATCCCCTCCGTCGCATCTTTCCAATGGGCAGTGCCAGGCGAGTGTGAGCTCATAATAAGCTCAACCTCCCGAGGAAGGAAATGCAGCCCAATACCTAGAAAAGCACTGGTCTTCCGATACGAGAGCTTCCTGATAACTTAACCAAAAGCCAAGCCGAGGGAGCTGGGGGTTCCATCTTGGCTTTGAAGCTCGCAGACATCTACCGATAGCGTGTCTCGCCCATTTCCTGTCTCTCACGCACGCCTGAGGCTGCTTGGCGGCTACAATAGCGGTTGGGTAGGCTTAAAAAGGTCCGCGAGGCAGGGAAGGCAAGGGGAACGGGGTTGAGACCGTCTTGAATTCTGCCTCTGCCGGCGTCGGCGCCAGCAGCAGCAGGGAGAGATGGGAATGAGACTGTGGCCCTGGGATTGATGGATGGTGGACAGACAGCAGGGGGTTGCCCCGTCCCCAACGACCCGTCTCGATTTAGCACAGCCATTGCTCCGTGTGGGTGGTGGGTGGATAAGATCGGTCGTGTTCCTGGATCCCAGTTGCGCGGCATGGCAGAGGGTGTGTTGATCATTGATCTGGACAATACGACTGGCTGTCATATTTTCGTTGACTGTCCATCGCTGAGACCAGCCAGCAGAGACCAACCAGACAAACCAACCTAACGCCGGTCCCACAGGTGGTGGTGGTGGTGGTTGGTAGTTGGTGGTTGGTGGCAGGCTATGGAAGCCAGTTGCGAAAGAGTCCAGGTCCAGGTCCAGGTCCGCGTCCCCGCGACATGGCGCCGGAAAAGTCGCCGATGAAATGCGGATGTGCGACTGCGACCCTGCGACCGCTCGTCAACCGCCGGATGGCCACGATTGTAACGACAAGTGTGAGAGACCGTCAAACACGCCAGCGACGGTCAAACAAATCCACCACGGGAAGCGGGCTAGGCTTTTTTTCACCCTTCGACTGGAGAATGGAGACCGACGGGAAGATGGGGACTGGAGAAAGCTGGAGTAGGTAGATGGGAAACATTGTCTCTCTCTCGTCGTCCACTCTCTTTTTCGCAAGAGGGCATGTCCCTGCTGGCGAAGACGATGCATTGCGAGAAGAAGTCCCGACAGGACAGGCTGGCGTGGACGAGGCCGGGAAGGATCTTGAAAAGAGAGGAAAAAGGCGCTCGTTAGTGGTGGAGGAAGCGCGGCTTGTGGCGGTTGGCTGTTTTAGCTGGCTCAACGGTCTTGTCTCTGGCGGCTGCGTTCCCTCCTTTTCTGGCCATTCCCTCCTTCCCAATGTCGGCAACTGCTGGGGTGAGCCATGGGGGCGCTTTCCCTCATGATCATGGGAGTTCCTTCCCGCTTCGTTGTCATCGAATGACGAATGACGGGAGCAGAGCAGATACAGCAGGTACGTATCTCATGCGAATACCGTATTCCTTACGGAACGAACGAGAAAGCCAGCGAGAGTTCAGCTCAGTGTTCAGTCACATCTACGCCAAACACTCCATTAGAACCCCTCTCATCAACAGCACCTATCGCAACGAGCAATTGGATAATTAGCATCTCCCGTCTCCTCCCATCCACATTGCTCACGCTGATGGCTGACGGGCGACAAGGAGACAAGCTTCAGGGGGGCAGCACTCCCTTCATATCAGAGGCAGGTAAAGTGCTTGCCTTGCCTGTCCTTAGGTTATCCGGCTAAAAAGCTCTCCACTGCACCATTTCCAACTGGGGCTTCTCGCAGAGGATGTGCAGATTGGCGGCACAGTCTTGCAGCTGCCAACCATTAACAGCTACCTTATTCCACCGACCATCTGCAAGCGAAGGATGGCAACAGACGGTTGACGGCTTCACCACGATCCAGGCCTTGCTTGAGCTGCATGTCGAGCTCCAGTGCGGCGTTGTAGGGTAGTATTCGCAGTATGCAGCAAGCAGCGTGGGCAGGGGGAGACGGCGACAATCTTGGGGTGGTCAGCTTCCAGTCCTTGGTCGTCTTGCAAGCTGTGGGCTGGACCCTTTTTTCTCTCTCTCTGATGCTTGCTTGGTGCTCGGAGTTTGGTACCCGTTGAAGAAGAGATACCTGCATCTCCACCTAGCTTCGTGCGACACGAGGAGTAGCTCCCCTTTCTCAGGTACCGGTGGTGATGCTCCGTACCCCGCCTCCAATCTCTTTCCCATTCTCGAAGTCGTCGAAAAGGGTGGGGTCTTCTGTCGCCGTCGTCTTCTTTTTGTTCTCCCACCGATGCTCCCCAGCGGCCCAGCACCCAGCAGGTGGTAACGGCCGGGGCATGCAAGCAGGGCAGCAGGGCAACAACATGTTGGGACCACGTTGGATGGGAAACTGGAACTGGGAACTGGAAGCTGGACATGGCAATGATGGTGGTGTGTGTGTGCTCTGCTGCATGTCATTCATGGCAGTCTACTGATGGATAAGACGGACCTGATACGGTACATGTGAAAAGCAAGTCGAAACTCAGCATGCGCGTACCGTAACAGAAACCCTCTCTCTCTCTGGACGGTGCTTCCAGCAAGCTCAAGCTTGCTCTTGCCTCCCCGACGGAGTGCCTGCCTGCCTGCCTGCCTTCTTCCCTCATGCGTGAGCAAGTACCAGGTAAGAGTGTGTGAGTGACCCCAGGGAAGGTGCTGCTGCATCCATGATCCCCCCTTCTTTCCTTCCACTCAGGAGTGACACACGACCCACCCCACCAGGTGAGGTACGTACCGCGCGTGCCTTAGCCCATGCCTAGCTTGCCTCCAAAACCCACCTCCCGCAGCAGAACAGCACCACACCCCACCCAATGCTTGGGGACCGCTAGCGTTGTGTGAGGTCGAGACTGCCACAACGCCGTACCGTTCCTGCTGTCTGTATCGGTATCTTGTACCGCCAAACAGCTCCTGCTCCTGCTCCCAACTGCTGGACCTGTCTCGACCAGCAATTGCATCGGCTTCAGATGCACCTGCCGCACCTGCCTCTGCACCTGCATATGTGAGAGGTGAGGACCGTAAAGACTGGAAGTAAGTAACTGCACACACACCACCTGCCACCAACGGTACAGAAGGTGGCACCTGCATCGCACCTCCTGCTGCTCCTGCTCCTGCTGCTGCTGCTGCTGCCGCGAATGACGGAAATTTCCCAATCCATCAACCGTCCGTCGTCGTCCCTGCCCTCGTCCCCTCGTCCCTCCCCTCGTCTTCAGTCTCAAGAAGCTGCCCCTCTGGCAGGTGCACCTAGCAATCCGTGTTCACGTTCCTTAATCAGCAGCTACCTAGAGTACGGATACCTTACCACCTGGTCGTGCCTTCCTTGCCTTGCTGCCGTGCACTTGCTTCCCATTTTTAAACCATCTGCCATCCCTCCCACCCCCTTCCACGGCCCTTCCTCTACCTGTCCTTGCTTCCCACCAAACCCACGGTACCTCTCCCTCGCCTTCTACCCCCGTACCTACCACCAGCAGATACTCACGCCGTATATCTCTGCACACGAATCCCGTCACCCTCCCTGGCCCATGCATTGTCGACCATTGCCTGGCTCTGTCTCTGTCTCTGCTGCGTGATAATCGCCAATTCGCCACTGTATCCTCTGGCTTCTCAATCTCTCTCTTCCTCTTCTACAACCCGCCGCCAGCCCTTCGTTCTCTCGATTCTTTTCTCACCAGACAGACATACCACTCTCACTTACCACGCGACACCACTACCCGCCGGCTCGATCCCACCATCGTTCGCCTCCTATCATCAAGACACACCCGTTGAATGCTGGCATCGACCTGATCTCGACCCCGATCTCGACCCACCTCCCTCCTAATTGCCACGTAAAGCCAACAACCGGCTCCTAATTACCTACCACGAACCGCTATCGTTCTACCAACTGTCGAGACCAATACCGCAACCATGAACTTCACCAAGAAATTCGACCGCGCCTTTCAATGGGCCGGCGAGAAGATGGGTTCCGAGTCCAAGACCGGCCACTCGGACGAGTTCAAGATGCTGGAGCAGGAAATGGCCCTCCGATATGACGGTACGAAACTTTGTCCACCCAGAAACGATCCAACTGGTGGTCCCGATTTACACGCAAACATGCTAACGGTGCCGTTCTGCAGGAATGGAAAGGCTGCAAAAGTCGACCAGCACCTACGTCAAGTGGATTGCCCGCCGCGGCGAGGGCTTCGAAGACAAGGAGAAGGGACTCCCCATTGCCTTTGTCGGTCGCATGATGATTTCCCACGGAGAGGAATTCGAGTCTGATTCGGAATTTGGCGCTTGTCTGCTTGGTACGCTGCGTTCCGCACCCCGCAACCAGACCTGGCTAACTGAGGATTGACAGCTCTTGGCCGAACCAACGAGCGCCTGGCCGGCATCCAAGAAGGCTATGCAACGGAAATCACCAACAACTGGCTGGAATCCGTCGAAAGATCTTTGGCCATGATGAAAGAGTATCAGGTACGTACCGACGTCATTGCTTGCCCAAAAGTGGTTTCAGCCCGTCCCATCTGACACACTCCCCGCAGGCCGCACGGAAGAAGCTCGAGTCGCGTCGATTGGCCTACGATGCGAGTATCAGCAAAATGCAAAAAGCGAAGCGCGAGGATTTCCGCCTCGAGGAGGAACTCCGTACCGCACGTGCCAAGTTTGAGGAGGCTGGCGAAGATGTGATGCGCCGCATGCAGGATATCAAGGAGGCCGAGGCCGACAACGTCCGCGACCTGACCGGCCTGCTTGACGCCGAGCTGGACTACCATGAGCGTTGCGCCGAGGAACTCCGCCGTCTCCGCAACGGCTGGGCCGGCAACGCACCCTCATCCCCGACAGACCGCCGTCTTGGCAATGGCCGCGGCCGCTCCAACACTTCGCGCTCTTACAATGACTACTCCTCCCGCAGCCAGCCAGTTGAAGAGGAACCCGAGCCGATGCCTGTTCGCATGCCCATCCGGTCGCAGCGCTCCGAGAGTACCCGAATTGGCGCCGCTGCGGAGCCCGCGAGACCGTCTATCGGTAGGTCCCAGACGTTTCAAGGCCCCGCTGCTGTCGAAAGACGAACGACCGCGAACCCTCCCGTACCGAGTGTGCCCAACGTGGGCTCTTTGCGTGGAAATTTGAGGCCTACAGGCAAGTCTCTGGGCAGAGACGATGTGTTTGCCGACCGGGATGATGACCACACGACAGCCAGCGGTAGCGGCAGTCCGGAATGGGGCGATCGCAGCGCCAGCCCTGCGACGAGCATGGGAAGCATCACTAAGAGCACAAGTAACTTGCAGTCCAAGAAAGCGCCGCCCCCTCCTCCCCCGAGCCGTGCGAAGAAGCCGGCACCACCGATTCCTGCCAAGAGAGAGGTCGGGTACTAGATCTACAAGGCCTATTGACAATGGGTCTTTAGACTGTGCGGGCATTTTTTTGGCCGCAAAGTGTGCTATACTGTTTGTTTCCGTCTCGTTGCATAAATAGACTGTTCATTCCGTTGTCGGGGGTAAGGGAATCCGACGGGAGCATGGCGTTGGGGCGCATTGATATCCGTGGGCTGGATCCGCAATCGTTGGTTCCCCTCATCGCATAGCTTCTGCTGTTGGGAAGGGAGTGATTAGACGGATGGCTAAGCTCGGTTCGAACATGGATACTACTCTATAAACTAGTTGAAAAGCAAAGTTATCCCAGCTGACGCGGCCGAGTTACAAATGTTTAGTGTGACACACAAGGCAATGAAACTGTGCGATCGCCCACTGGAGCTCTTCATCAGCACTGAGGGTGGCTGTCAGAGGAGCGTGCCACGGCATAATGTTCCGAGTTGAAGCGTGTCGAGAGGAGCCATCATTCGAAGCACCAAGCAGGCAGTTTGTGTGGTGCCATCTTCTTCCACCTGGGCTCGGGGACGATTGGTGTTGGACCCTGAAAATCTGACTCGTAAATCCCCCGGTGGATGTAAACCGTTCTAGGCATGTAGGCCGGGTGTGTTCCGACGTCAGGACCCGCATCGATCGGAGGTGTGCAGCCGTTCCTTGTCCTGAACTGCCGGTATCCGGGCTTGATGCCGGGAGTCAAGCCACAGCCAGACATGCTCCAATGGGTGTGGCTGATAGTATCACGTGAGTGTTGTGGCTCGAGCTTCTTATCCGCTTAACCTAGGCAGCGATAAGCAGCCGCGCCTTCTTTGTGAATCGCGACGCCTTTTCGAACCTCGACCTGCCAGCAACTTTTTACACGACAAACAATCCCGTCCATCTTTGGTCCTCGCATTGCATTCTGTAGCGATTCAAACAGATATTGCCTCTCGCATCCGACTGGCCGTCGCAGCTTCTTCAATCGACGCCTAGCAACCCGCAGCTAGTCAACACTCCGTTTTCACTGCAAGAGTCAATCGTCAGCCTAGCGCGGTCCGGCGCAACCATGGCGACCGAAGATGCGCGATACCGGCTTTCGACCCAGTACCGGCTGTGGTCCTTCTCCCCGTCGAAACTGGCCGAACTTCGGGAAACGACGAACAGCCTCGCCAAAACGAACATCAGCGCTCGGCTCCTCGAGCTGAGAGGTGGTAACCAGGATGAGCCTCTGCCCGAGTTCCTCACGGCCGCCGAAGAGACCCAGCTGCTCAAGTTCTTCACCGTCGAGCTTATCCGCGCCGCCACCTTCTGCGGCCTGCCCACCGAAGTCAGAGCGACTGCCACGGTCTTTCTCCGCCGATTCTTCGTAACCAACTCCGTCATGACCTACCCGCCTACCGGATTGCTCAAGACGTGCCTGTTCTTCGGAAGCAAAGCAGAGGGAATTTACACGAGACTTGCCAAATTTGCCGACAAGTTCCCCAACACGAGCGAGGAGGAGATTCTGGCGGGAGAGTTCTTGCTGTGCCAAGGAGTGCGCTTTGCCTTTGATGTCAGACATCCGTTCCGTGCCCTGGAAGGAGCCATCTTGGAGCTGCGGAGGTATCCCGATCTCGAGGTGAGTTGACACATAATACTAGATTTGGGTGTGGAGGGCATAACACTGACCAAGGCCAGAAATCCCGAGTCGAGACAGCCCACCTTCGCGCTCGAGAGTACCTCAAGTTCAGCTCTCTCGTCACCGATGCCTATTTCCACTACACCCCCAGCCAGATCATGCTTGCCGCCCTCTCGCTCGCTGATAGAGAACTTGCCGAGAAATTCGTACAAGGAGCCTTTGCCCCTCCTCATAACGGCGAGGACGCCCACAAGATGGATCCGACACCTCGATCTGACCTCAGAGACAAGGTAATGGGAACAATAGAGTCGTGCCGGGAGTTGCTGGCAACAGAGCCTCCAGAGCGGCTGGAAGAATACTGGGGCCAGGTATGTTTATCAGACAAGTTCATGACGGACAACCGCGTTCATGAAAAGCTGTGAGAAGCCATTGCTAACAAGACACGTAGCCTGAGAGCACCAAGCTGATCCGGCCCCTTCTTCGAAAGCTGAAGAAGTGCAGAGACCCCGATCGCGCAGACCTGGTGGCCTTGCAGAAGGCCCGGCGGGAGATGGCGGCGCAAAAGGAGCCTCGCCGCCCGAAGGCCGAGGGAGACGGCTCAGCGTTCGGCGGAGAGATCGCAGCAGCAAACGGGAACGATGCACGGGAGGCGAAACGCAGAAAGGTAGCCGAAGGAGGCGACGATGTCTTTGGCCCAGCGTTGTGATGAGATGAAAGGTCTGGACCGCGACGTCGAGCTGGCATTCCTCACTGCCCTGGCGCAAATGCACATGGCGTAATAGAGCTCCAGCCACGGCGCTTACAACCAAGACCAATGACTGGGCCGGACGATTTGGCTCAATTCATACATACGAAGATACCCCCCAAGATTTTGTTGCATGGCTTGTTTGCTCTGGATGGTGAAATTGCGACGTGGCAATGGACAAGGCGTCCCGGTTCTACTAGTTCCAAACATCGCCGTGGACGGTTGATGGGATTCCGAGGATGCCCTGCCTTGGGTTTCCCTGATTTTCAACATGTCGGTTCATCTAGACGACGCCCGGAGGCCTCAACGGGGTCAACTTTAACGCATTCGGATGAGTCCTGGGGCAATCACCCGTCGAGATGCGAGCGCCAAGCTGGCATGTCGGTGGCAGGAATGCGCCATTGCATCGACGGCTGGAACAAGCGCCAAAGTCGCGATCGTGTCAGCAGTATCGATGACGCACCCATTTGAAGATGACATCGCTTTTTACTATGAGGGGATGGGCAGAGTCGGCACAGCCGGCCCCTGGAAAGGCTTGGGGTCCCAAGAAGCTTCTCCATTATTCGTGCTTGGCCATGCTCCTCGAGGAGCTAGGCTTTTTACGGACAGCTGTCTTGGGGAGCTAGCAAGGATCTCCCCTCATTGGCGAGCTTTCGCAGCTTCCACAGACTCGAGACATTTAAGACATGCTAGACATTGACTGGTCGAAGCGAACTCAGGGGACAGCGGGAATGGCCCGAATGGCCCTGCATCTGGTGTGGGATGCGGGCTGTTGGATGCGGGGAAGAAGTCTGCAGTCGATACCCTGCCCCGACCCCCTTCATCTCTTCTGCTCTGCTGCCCGGGCAAATGAGATACGACACCAAGACACCACGATTGTATCCATCCCCAGTGTACGGCAATCAGCAACAGCAAGGTGCATGAGACTCTCAGTAATGATATGAGGCTTAGCATGCAGGAAAAGACACCCTTTGGGCTTTACGAATAATACATGACTAATTCGCCAATGTTGCCAGGTAGCATTGGGAAGCGCGCCAGCACAGCTCGTCGCCGGCGCCGTCGGAGCCAATCCCGTCCCCAAACGGCGCTAGGCGGACTATCCTGACGACATTGACTTTTTTGCCCTCACTCGTCTGCGAGAAGCTGTGCCCAACGGGATGACAAGCTTACGCAGCTCCCAAGACATGGTGCGATGCCAATGGCCTGTTGCGTCTTGCGTCTACTACGTTCCCGGCGGCGATGCAATACTTTGCATTCCGCTCTTCGTTTGGTGCTCTTTTGCGATGACAGCTCCGGGAATGCCCAATTCCGCGGCAATGGCTTCGTCCCAGATTTGCATGTTCAGATGGAGCTTTCCCTGTAGAATCAAGCTCTATCGAAGTGTTCTCAGGGGCTCCATAGTAGCTTGTAGGTTTAAGAGACATAAGGTACCGGCTAGACCGTGTCACCACCGGCGAATCAGGCAACCGTTCCCCGGGATTCGATCCGATCATCACGGGGCCAACACACTCACTCTCGCCGTACCCCCGTACCACCGGCGCCCCCAGCTACTTGCACTTTCCCACGATCGACTTGGCACTTTGTTGGCGATCCCGTACCCAAGCCTGCCCAGCGCAGCAAGCGTCGTTGTTGTCGCGCAAAGCTAGGGAGGACTTCTCCACCCCCTTCCCACCCAAGGCGTGTTCGGTCTCAATCCCTGGCGCCGTCGTGATGTCGACCAAGACCCTTGTCTGGGGTTGCCGACGAAGTAGCCTGTGTTTGGGGGCCGCCGGGCAACAAGCTTGATTCTTCCGGCCCAGCGCGATGGGTATTGGCTCCCCTCTCGGTTTCGAGAAAGTGTTTGTCATGACTCTTCACCGGTTGGTCGCGCCAAGGAGTGAGGGAGACATGTTTCTTTAAAGAGTGTGCTCTTGCCCCTCCGTTCTCCCTCTTTGCGACAACCAGCTCGACAAGTTTAGGATTTGAGTGGAACAGCAACACCTTCTTTACACAGCCATACACAAAGCAGCACGTCTGTCGACATCAACACACAATGCAGATCAAGAACCTCTCTCTCCTGGCTCTGGCCGGCACGGCCTTTGCCCAGCAGTCGAACCTCACCGAGGTCCTTACCTCTCAGAACTCGACTCTGTCGACGCTCATTGGGCTCCTTGGCCAACAGCCTGCCATCCTGCAGGGTCTCGCTCAGGCCCAGAACATCACCATCCTCGCTCCGTCCAACGCTGCTCTCGAGGAGTTCCTCAAGGCTCCCGCTGTTATGCAGGCTGTTGCCGCAGACCCGGGCTTGGTCGCGGCTATCCTCAGCTACCACGTCCTGAACGGCACGTACTACGCCTCTGCCTTCACCGAGCAGCCACAGTTCATCCCTACCCTGCTCCAGAACGAGACTTACACCAACATCACCGGCGGCCAGCGCGTGCAGGCCCAGACTGTCGGCGGCAACGTCACCTTCTTCACTGCCCTTCGTGAGAACTCCACCGTCTCGCAAGGCAACCTGAACTTCACCGCCGGCACCGTCCACATCATCGACAAGGTCCTCTCCGTCCCGGGATCCATCAACACCACTCTGCAGCAGGCCAACTTGACCGCTGCCGTCGGTGCCATCCGCGCCGCGAACGTCACAAGCACCCTTGCTGCCGCCAAGGACCTCACTATCTTCGTCCCGAACAACGCGGCCTTCGCTGCTATTGGAAGCTTGGCCGGCAGCATTGCCTCCGCTGAGCTTGCCCAGATCCTGTCGTACCACGTCGTCGGCTCGGTCCTGTACAGCCCCCAGATCACCAACACTTCTCTGACTACCCTCGGCGGCGGTAACGTTACTGTCAGGGTCATCAACGAGACTGTCTACGTCAACGAGGCCAAGGTCGTCGTCCCTAACATCCTGGTTGAGAACGGTGTTGTCCATGTCATTGACGGGTAAGTCAAACATCCATGTATCACAATGAGACTGTATGGAAGACTAACGTGTGAATAGTGTCTTGAACCCCAACAACACCTCTGTCCAGCCCGATACCTCTGCTTCGACTCGTGCCCCTGCCTACTCTGGCGCTAGCACCGCCACTGACGGAAGCAACCCCTTTACTAGCGGCGTTGAGGCTCCCTCCACCACCCCACCTGTTGCCACCGAAACTGGCGCTGGCAACGGCGGCGGCGCTGTCCAGACCACCACCAGCAGCACCCAGGCCGCGCCCATGAGGACCGCCGCTGTTGGCGCTGCTGCGCTGTTCGGTGGTATGGCCGCATACATGAACATCTAAGCAGGATGTATGGCATGAAAAAAGCGTGAGGGGGCGCAGGTGCGAGGAGGATTTGTTATACCACGAGAAAGAAAGATGTTTTACCGTCTGACTTGCAGATGTTCATTCATTTATATCGTCAATACCCTGAGAGGAGTGTCTTGTAATAGTAGTACGAGAGTGGGTGAGGAAGGTTGCAGGATCGTAATGAGAATATCGTCATTGCAGAATGAGTACCAAAACAAGTACCAGTGTGAAAGAAAGAAGTATCAATATCGGTATGGCATGTGAACTTGGACAAGGTATTATCATCCATCTCTGTGGCCTGGCTGACACAGTCCACTTTACACTCAATTGAAACTGTTTCTTGCACAGATATAGGTCCCCAACTCTGCTGACTATGACGCTTCAAGCACAGGACTAGAGGTTCCTGGGGAGAGAAGCGCGTTAGGTCGGACAGGAGAATCTAAAACGAGTTTCAATTGAGGTGTATATAAAGAAATCTGACATAATAGATGAACTTCCATGACCGCACCTGAAAGTTGATAAGGGAACATTAAAATCAACGGGCTTATGATGTGCCGTAGGATATAATTGGATTCGGCGATACGAGACTCGGACTTTGGTTAGAAACGCATGATTTGGTGCTGGAAATGCGGAAGTATCAACCTTCTTCCAACTCAACACCGCTGAACGTCCGGTCTTTTAAGTGGCCGTCCAGGATTCGCCCCAAGCCACACGACTCAGGACCCAAACGAGCCGTACTTTGAGATTAGTCGCGACTGTGCGGTTATATCAGCACTTGCGTGCTGTTTCAACGCCCTTTGGTGGTGGTGGCCTAGGAATCTTTCAAACCAAAAGAACTGCTAGGCGATGGCTGCTTATCACAATGAGAAAAGGAAACATTATCCATGGATGGCATTTGAATCGCCACTGTTTAAGCGAGAACGCCGAATATTGCCATGCGTTGCCAACTCCAGCTTGGGTGCATCTCCGGACACTCAGATGTTCATCTGTTGACAATACTATGCAGTGAATTCCACCGGCCAATGTACTGCACAAAGACCGCATAGATCAGCTTAGCATACAGGCAACCAATTTGATGCCATGTCCAAAATCAGCATGAGCAAGTAAGTAATGGCTTCGAGAATAACGCGAGAATTTTACGATATCACTTCTGGATTGTTGGTGGATCAATTCCCCCTTTTGACTGAAGTAACTCGAAACTTTGCCGAACTAGAGCCAATGACGCTCCAACTGTTTGATGCTCGGGTTCGCACTTTCGTCCGTGAATCAAAAAAACGAAGAACCAACAGGTAAATTTTGCCGGCCCGGAAAGCCATCTGAATGATTTTGCAACTCTTGCGGAAACCTTGTGGGGGAAGCCCAATGGGAGAAACTCCCACCGGCAGCCGGGCCAGTCTGGAGCGTGCCCGCCAGAAAGCATGAAACATAGGGTTCAACTCTGCTGCGCGTGCGGGCGAGTACGAGAGCTCCGTAAGGCAGCTGAAGTCCCTGCGCTTGTGCCCGGAGGCCCGAGCCTTGCATTACCACGCCATTTTCAAACTTGTAGGTGCCGTCGGCCGAAGATTGGCGCAACTCTCGGGTTTGTATGACGGCGATTGGGCCGGGATGGCTCTTCGTTCTCACCTCCCTCATATCTAGGCGGGGTACTTGATAGGCCAGTATTCAGGCGACATGTATTGACTCCAGTCTTCTAGAGCTATTCCATTTGAGCCCAATCCTTTATTTCTGCCCACCAAAACAATAGCTAAATGGTTCGTCGTCGCCACGTGGGCGGGCCGTAGTCGCATACGTCCAATGCTTGCTCCTTCAGCACTTCCGCCTGACGTTGATGATGGAGTTGAGGTTCCAGACACTCTGTATCTGGTTTCTCTGTGGTGTTGCCTTGGCCCAGAATGCGACTGAGCCGCCAGCGCCGTTGCCGGTGAACGGTTCGCAGCCGACGAATGGCTCAAGCAATACGAATGGCACGTCTCCCGTCTTCGCTCCGTGCGCTGTACGTTCTCAAGCTATACAACCGTGGTTTCTTTGCTGATGTTGTCAGTTGGACTGCATATCTCGAGAGGTTGTCCTATCGCCCTGCCAGACTATCGACAACACAACATGCGTCTGCAACGACCAAGGGTTCTACAAGCAAGTGGAGAAATGCATCTTGTCGGGATGCACTCCACGAGAAGGAATCGGTGAGCAGGACAACATCCCTCTTCCTTTCCTAACGCCATTCCCTCGTACTTATGCGCTACACAACAGCTACGCAGAAGGCCAAGGCGGATTACTGTCACGACCCCGTTCGCTCGCAAGTAGAAATGCTCTACGGACTTCGTTCGCTAGAGATAGCCGCGTGGTTTCTGGTTTTGTTTCGGTTTTACGCTCGCTGGGCTACACGATTACGATACGGGTGGGACGACTACGTAATGATGGCAGTAGCGGCAAGCATATTCTTTCGAATCGACAGCAGAAGACGGAGAACTAACATGTGGTAGATAATTTACATTCCCGAGCTGGTCATCAGTCAGTTGAGTATGCTTGATAATATCGCCATTCGCAAGCAGGTTCTAACCATGCTGCTAGTGGATGACAATGCCTTCGGTCGTGACACTTGGAACTTGGAGTGGGACAAGATTATGCTGGGCCTGAAGGCAAGTCTACCCGATACACGACGCTTGCTTATCCTAACCCACCATAGCTCTTTTTCGTCCAAGAACCGCTCTACCTACTGCAGCTGGGACTTACGAAGATTTCCATCTTATTTTTGTACTTGCGAATCTTCCCCGGCCGACGCTTCAAAAGAATCACATACGCCTTTATCATCTTCGTCGCCGGCACCACGGCTGCCCTTGTTGGCGGATCCATCGTCGAATGCTGGCCCATTGGATATTTCTGGGAGGCATGGAACACAGAATATCTGATTCACACCACCAAATGTCTCAACTTGACGGCGGCGGTGTTTGTCGCGGCGGGGGCTTCCATATTTCAAGACATCGTTATGATTATTCTTCCCATACCACCCTTGCTAAAAACGCAACTACCGAGAAAGGACAAGATAGGAGTCTCTATCATGTTCATCCTTGGCCTCCTGATCACTGGCGCAAGTTGCTTTCGCATGCAATATATCAACGTTGCATACTCACCCAACCCTTTTTGGGACTTCGAGCCAGCCTTGCTTTGGTCTCTTGTCGAACTTGCCATGTCTTTCCTCGTCACAAGTCTTCCAGCAATACATAGCTATCATACCCAGATAGTAAGGCCTAAAGTTAGGGCTTATCTCCAATCACGGCGCGAGGCAAAGTCCTCCCAGAACAGCGGCAGTGGGCCAAGTGGGCAAATGCAGAGCAATGGACGATCCCGTTTTAGGACTGTACTGGCAGGAAGAGGGCAAAGACGCGCAAACAACAATCTAATATCGACACTACTTTTCACGCCAATATCGTGGAAGTCATCTGCCGACCGGGAATCTCGTCAAACGAGAGAAGGGTTTCCGACGCCACAGGATGAAAGTGTTTTTGGGAGCAAAGCCCCACAGATCTCACTTAAGGATCTAGGTGGAACTCCAGGGCTACGAAGTCTGTCTGATGTGGTTAATAGGAGAGACTCAATACAGGAAGAAAGGGAAACGGCACACGGTTTGGCTTGGGTTAGTAGGTCCGCCCCTCAAAATACCGGGTCAAAGGTTGGAGGAGATGATACCATATCCCCGTCAAAAAGTACACAAACGCCAAAGAGTTGGCTTGTAGGAGATGACATCGTGTAGAAATCAAAGACATAGAAAACAACACTTGTGCATCCACTTCGAGTAGTCAAAGAGACGAAGCTAATTTGCTCAGTCCATCCTTTAGCATTAGGAAATCCTCACGGCCTTTTGTAAGCGCCTCATAATCAATTTAGATGTCAGTTGAAAGACTTGTTCTTGAAGTATTCAGCCTGTGGTAAGCCACGGTTGTTTTCTGGATTATCCTAGATTAACAACATGCGTAAAAAAAGTCCGTGGGAAGACAAGCTCTAACAGGACAGCACCGCATGGATTATCACCCAGGACGAAAATCAGACCAAAGATGTAAAGAGGCATAGGATCAAATCATCCTAAGGATTGACTCTCCGAACAGCCGTTCAATTAATTGTCAATCATCACTGGTCAGCTACAAATCCGGTAATCCGAGTCACGTGCACATAAAGCGTGGGCAAAGGCTCCGCTTGGAGATCCGGCAATGTGGAGATCGATCCGGAGGAAAATCTCTTTTGTGGAGCTCCGATCCGCCGATACCGGCTGCTGTCAGCCGGGTCAGGCAGCATCTGACGAACCTGGGAAAACTGTGGGAGACCTTGTCAACTCTTGCGAAGCTTACCTGAAATCTGACAGCTGCGATACGGTGCCTGCGTCAACCGTCCTTTTCGCCCACCGCAAGTATGGACAAGGATAGCAAAGTCGTGATCATCGGCGCCGGCGTATTTGGTTTGTCAACGGCTGTACAACTTGCCATTGAGGGATTCAAGAATGTTGTGGTGGTTGACAGGCATATGCCACCTGTATGGAATTCCGTCAACGTTCTCGACGCAGGGCGGTGGCTGATAGTTTAGCAGGTTCCAGACGGATCGAGCTGCGACATCTCTCGCGTCATACGGTTCGATTACGCCGATGAAGACTATTTGAATGTTTCACACGAGGCCTACCTCAAATGGAGCAAAGATCCAAAGTTCAAAGACATCTTTCATCCCTCGTCATACATACTGACGGGTAGCATGACCGGCGGAGATGAATCTTGGATCGACAGGACGACCAGGCAACTGAGCAACAAGGGCTTGGCGTGGACCAAGCTTGATGATGCTGCAACCGCGAAGAGAGCATTTCCAATTCTTTCCGGCAAGCTTGCTGAGCCAGGATTCAAGGGCTACTACAACGACGCAGCAGGATGGGCAGACGCCACAAAGGCAATCATCCAGCTTCGAGATGAGTGTCTTGAACTAGGCGTTTCATTCATCTCGGGCCCAGCTGGAACCGTCGTTGGTTTTGATACGGACTCAGCGAACAAGATTCGATCAGTCCAGACACTCGGAAGCATGTCAATCCAAGGCGATCACTTTGTCTTAGCCGCGGGCGCTTGGTCGTCTAACCTAGTTCCGATGTATAACTCAACACTGGCGACAGCGCAGGTGATAGCGTACACTCCTCTTTCCGACACGGAAGTGCAAAGGTATAAGAAGTTGCCTATCTATGCGAATTTCAACACCGGCTGGTTCAACTTTCCTCCACACGCAGATACAAAAACTCTGAAGATGGCGGTGCACGGATGGGGTTACACTCGTACTCCTAGCAAGGGGGAAGCGTTAATCGAGGCAAACATCTCTACACCCCGGGTGTATCCAAGTCGCGAGCGCCCCAACTTCTGTCCTTCCGAGGGAGAAGAAAGGCTCCGAAACGGACTTCGCGAGATACTGCCGGAACTTGCCGATCGCCCTTTTGAAAAGGTGACCATGTGCTGGTACACCGACACTCCATCAGGGGACTTTATCATGGACTATCACCCTGACTACCAAAATCTGTTTGTGGGAGGAGCAGGAAGTGGACAGTAAGTTGGGATCATGATGCAAAATGGAACAAATTGGTTGTACTAACGGCGGTTGCTCGCAGTGCTTTCAAGTTCCTCCCTGTCCTGGGAAAATACATGTCACTAGGGCTGAAGAGAACGTTGCCTGCGAATCTGTCCTCAAAGTGGCGATTCAGAATGGAATACAAGGATCGACCAGATGTTTTTGAGGGAGATGGGAGCCGAGGGGGCCCTGCCCGACGTGAACTTAGCTTAGAAGAAAGAGCCCGTCTGGATTCGGTGGTAAAGAGTTATCTCTGAAGTCGTAGAGCAGGAGGGTCAGAAAGGTCATTATCTTGATTCGATACATATTCTATGAGAAGGGCCGTCTGTCCCCTCATCCGATATCCCGTATTTCGCTATTCCTCGAGGGCGCGGATCATTTACCAGCCCTTGTTTGTCGTAGCCCAGTCGCGGATCCAGGAACATCGACAGCGGAACTGACCCCAGCTTCTGTTGAAGGCATGGGCAATCGTGCTAGCTTTAAGAAGGCCTCCTCTTCCGCCACTTTGGCCAATCTCATTTTCTCAGCTTCCGCTGCCAAGCGAGACCGAGTAGCTTCCTCTTCGCTCATAGCAGGATCGATACTCCCGTGTGATTCACTTTTCACATCGTCCCATCGCAAACCTTGTCTGCGGTCCTTCTCTTTCTTGATGTTCTCCCCAAGCTCCGTAGTCGTATTAAGCTGCACAGTGTACATCGGGTTACCATTCTCACCCGCTGAAGGAAGCATTCCTCCAGGCTTTGATAACGGAATAGCCCTGCACGCTGCCACCAACGCACAGTGAAACCTATTGCTACGTTGAGAGCGAAGTTTGTCGTCGGACCAGTTGTTACGATGAGTGAACGCCAGTCGAAGCTCCATCTTATTGAGTTCATGGAGGCTGACGACATTGAGGCCCAAGCTGTCCGGAACGAAGTCTCGTGAATTGTTGCTGAGAAATTCCTCCATAATAGTGCGTAGGCGTATAATATCCTTGAAGCCGGTCCTGAAATCCACAAACATTGAGATTCCTTGTCGATTAATGCCTGACCTCGAGAAGTTCTCAATGCGCTTTTGAGAAAGTCGGTCATTGGAAATTTGCAGATCACAACCGTTGTCGAGCCGCCTAAAGACCGTGTACAACAGGGACTGGCGTTTGACGACGCACTGAGTTCCAACAGTAGAACCAGGATTGTAGACGTTGACAACGTCTCCCACGTCGTAGGGATGATCAAAGAAGACGAACACGATCCCCACCAAAAGATGATGGAACGTCCGGCCGACCGCAAAAGATAGTCCGATCGCCAGACTGGAGAGAATTGTCTGAATCTGTTTGATAGCCGGCACATATGCGACCACTTTGACCAGTGTAAGCCTATGACCACGTGGAATATTGGGCACGATACTCACTGATAAAGAATATCATGACAGCTGCAAGAATAAGCAGGAGAAACCAGTCGAATGTGTTGATGCAGTGGTCCATGTTGGTCATGTTGCGATAGATGTTATGTCGAGTTTTCCCACCTTCGGTGACTATGCCAATGAACTCCTCAATTCGAATGTCGGGGCTGTTGTTTTCGTTCACAGTCTTGAATATGCGAATGGCCTCTTCTTTTCGGTAAGGGCCAAGGACGTCGATGATGTCGTTAGCAGTGAGACCTGATTTGCCCTCTGCCACAAGTGGCAGCCATATGCGTCTTGCCAACGCTTCAGCTGAGACCGGACTAGCCCATGACCGCTCGATAACTGCGTAGGTACTTGCAGGTCGAAGCCAATGTGCATTAGGATCGTCTGATATGAAATTGCCAAACAGACTCATCATCTTGTAGCCGTCGATACCCATCCGAGCAAGGTAGCTGCTGACCCTCGTTCGGCCAGAAGCATGGGCGTCGCCTTTGGCGTTTCGAATGAGCATGTCTTCTCGGGCGAATAAGGTTCGATGAGGAGGGTGAAGATAAACAGAAGCGTCGTATAGTGTGATCAACGCGTTTTGCAACTCTCTTGTCCGGGTGAGTTTCACGTTGTCGCCTCGATAATGGTAGTGAATCGTGATGTAAGTGATGAAGATCTTCTCGATGAAGTAGAAGCAGACCCAAAGAATTAATTGCTGGAAGACATCGGCAACGACGTCATCCCACCAGAAAGCGTCTGCCGGCTTGTTGATGTTGACTGCCAAAAGATTGTTGTCGACAATGCACTGCAACAAGACAAATGTTAGCCAATACGTTTGAACCAGGGCTGGTATGCAGTTAGTGAATTGACATACCGCTGCGAAGAAGATATAGGTAACCAGTGTTGTGCCGAGGAAGGCTATCGGTCGCCGCATGAACTTGAAAATCCTCCAGTACTTTTGGTGCGAGGGATTCGTGTATCTACATTGGTTAAGATTTGGCCGATTAGATATTAACACTAACCAACATACCTGGCAATGAACCTGAACAGATACGGAAATCCAAGACCAATGAGGTCTGAACCCACGGCTGCTATCCATGTAACCATCAACCACAAGCAGATGTAGAACACAAGATTGCTGTACTGTTTCGCTTGAATGCTCTCAATGGTGCTGTCATCGGCAAACTCGGCGTCGTTGCTCAACACAATTGTGGGGACAAGAAGTGCCACGAAGATAACAGCAGAAATGAGGGCATATCGAAGAGCCCACCAAAATAGTCGGCGTCTGTGATGAGTCTTAACAACTGGTGGAACTTGCTGTTGAATCGCCTCCGAATTCGTTGGAAATGCTTCTAAGCTTTCAATCTCCCGAGCCCCGGGGATAGGCTGGTACGCTTTGGTATCGGCCCATGTTTTGGTCGGTGAGTCTTGTGTGGCGATGGACTCAATTTGAGGAAGCATCTCAGGATTGTGATTTGTGCCCGGCAGGCTCGATGAAGATGACCCAGGCGGAAATGGTTGAGGCATTGATTGAAATTGCTCCTGTTGGCTTCCTGGGACTGGTTTCCGGTAGCTCGGCGGGAAGCTGTCTCGCGGATTTGAATTCATATTTTCCTGCAGCCCCGGTGAATTCAACAAAGATACGAAGGTATTTCAAATCACCAGAATCAAGTTCGTGCAAGATAGTGGGTTATCCAACACTTTTCAGTTCCCCTCTATTTGCAGCACATCTGCAAGGCAGCAGCTCATTGCGGCTTATTCGAGGGGCTATGTTGTTCACCCCACGCAAGCCACTTGTCAGAAGTGCTTTCTATGGTGGATTTACTAGAGTGATTCTTGGCTTGAAATGGTGGTTTGAGAACAAGTGAAGGGTCTCATGTGCGGCGACTTCAGGGCGTTTCTCGCGCCATCAAATTTTAAGCTCTAGCTTGCCAAGTCTAGTGCTGATGGGCCCAATCCTTTCGTAGACACCATGCGCATTCTAGACTGTCAATTTCCGCAATTTCCAACATGATAGGAGCATGACTTTGAGAAAGGATTCCTGGCGCCTCAGGGCTGAAAGCCGGACCGTTCACAGACTGGTGGCTGAAAGGGCACGGTTGCAAGCGGAAGCGGCATCAACGCGACGCTAGTCTAATGGTCAGAACTTTATGATTTCGGGTTTGCTCTAACCGTTGATCATCGCTCTAACGACTAAGCGGCTTTAAAACGTGGTCCAGCCGCTCGCTCCATCAAGACATGCCTTTTTATTTTGTTGCCTGAAGGAGCACGTCCCGCCATGCTATTCTGACTCGAAAGCGGGCTTGAATGTGAAGGCAAAGGCTGCGGTCCGTTTCTCGCGACTCAATGGCTTTGCGTCCCTTGCGGGACGACTGACCAAAACGCACCTCAGCGGCCTCAGTTTTTGACGCAACGGTGCAGTGACATGCTCCTAATGATTACGCGCAATCGATATGTCAGACTGCAGGGTCTTGCACATAGGATGAGAAGGAACATCGAGGAAGCTTGCAACCAATCTGCACTTCCATCGGATGCTGGGAGAATTGAGAGGGTCTCGAAGCTGTGGACCTCAACAAGTCACCGAGACGGAGAATCATATGGGCGACCATTGATCTGGATAGAAACCGTTTGCTACTGGCAGTCTGTAAAAAGATTGATGTATCGAAGACATTTACTCGTGGTCATCAGGATGAAAAACAAGAGCTCGAACTTCAATGCTCTCTCGCGGCGGTGCATCTGGTCCAGCAGTGGGATCAACAAATGCCGTGTGGGGCACTCTTCGCGCCCTCCCATCCGTCTTGGTATCGAAGCACTTGATCAAGATAACTTCCTCCGGCGTGAGGCCTGCTTTGTAATACCACTGGTGTTCAGCCCGATGCTTGACTTGATAAGTCTCTCCACGCCGGTTAGGATAGATGAGATCCGTCACAACCAAATCCGAGTCTGACACGGAGCCGGCCTCGGCGACGGCAAGTGGGTCTCGCAGGACCGTTTTGATGGGTCGCCAGACGTTGATGATCTGCACCCGGCCCTTGAGCAACTCTTCGGCATCCTCCGGCAGATGGTGGGGCACACGGGAGAGCGCGGCCTTGTACGACTGATCGATGTGAACCCTCTGAACGGGGCCGCGGGAGACCCGATCCTGGGTTGCGGCACTGGGCGGCTGTCGGCGAATGGTGTGATCGAAGATGAAGATGCGATTTGCTCCAGTTCTATGTAAGTTGTCAGCCAATCTCTTTCCGGGCTTCCAGACGCCGCTATTACAAGGGGAAACCCGTACACGCTCTTCAACAGCTGTTCTACCTCCTTATAATATCCCGACTTGATCTGGGCGTCGTCGAGGAAGTGTTTCTCAGCGGATTGGTGACGATGGATCTGAAAGCCATGCTGGTCCAGAGTGTACTTCTCTTCATCCCCAGACACATCACGGATCTTGACTTGATGAGTCTCGAACGGTCTGTTGTAAGTCTCAGGCTTATCAACATAAGTGGGATGCGGCGGCGAGCCGTCCTCGTTTTCTTTGTGGTAGTGCACCTCTGCAAGCACGTCTCTCTTCAATGCAAGTGGTGATGTGATGCTCTGGGTTGGTTGATTTTGTGTCGAACCAAAATATGGTGGACCCTCGGAATGGGCAAGATGTTGAATAACGGTCGTGGCCATTGGGCTGGTAGATCCAAATACAGTGGATATGGGAATGAATATCTGATGAATCCTGAGGCTGGTGCAAAGGCACAACATCTGGCAGAAGCAGGGGTCTGGTGTGAATATATACCCCAGATCTACATGGTCCCCGCAAGCACGCAATTCTCGTCCGACAATTAGTGTCTTTGGATTCATAAGCCGCCCAACGAAAATGATCTACGTTCATTACCAATTTCTCCGCACATGTTCCAGGTGTACCGGGTAGACACAGATACCGGTTACACGTGATCTTGAAGCGATTTCAAATCAGCCCGAGGCTCAAAGGAGGCCAGTGGATTAGTCCGCCGGGGTAGCAGATGCGTCGTACGACACAGAAGACGGAGCAATCATCCGAGTGATTAATAATAATGATCTTGCTCATCCTCGCTGAGAGGTAAGGCGCGGCTATCTGTCGAAGATACTTTATCCACAGAGTAATGTAGGCTGTGAAATAAATTGAGTATCCGTTTGGACGATACAGGGGTTTCGAATATCAAGGCGCGCGTGAAATAGTTCTTATTAATAGAATAATGTACATGATAACTCCAACTCAACGGCTTTGAACGCCAGTACGGCTTCACACATCTAGTTTTCAGTCTATTGAAGTATGAACAAGTTTGGTAATCGCTGTCCCATCGCCAAGCACCTCTTCCTTCTCTTCAATCCTGTAGCCTCTCCAATGCGGGACCAAAATGGTCCAGACGTACCAGTAAACCACGCCGGCACCCAAGCTTGAAGTTGATCAGCAGTTCGTCACATAGAGTAGGGGTGTAAGGTAGGTACGAACATGCTGACGCCAACGATCGCGTATGTTGCGTAGAATAAGCCGTTAGACGGCTTAACTTTGGGTGGAAAGAATGGTGCGGCTAGCAGAGCCAGACTCAGACTGATTCTCAGAATCACAGCCGGAACCCAAGCCTTGAATGGTCTCTTGAGATCGGGTCGCTTGAACCTTAACCATAGAATGCCGCCTCCCACTGCCAATGCCATAAACTGGCCTGGATAACCCTCAACCTCTAGAATGAAGGAGTAGACTTCACCAGAGGGAGGAAGCGCAATGACCAGGAATGACGGGATATAGTGAACCAAGAGACCACCTAAAGGTGAGTTGAACGGCTTTGTGGATGAAAGAATATCGGAGAAGGGGAGGAATCCTTGCCGAGCAATCTCTTGCTTCAGTCGAGCCTAATAATAGTTAGCAATCATCAACAGTTTCAGTCGATCGTCCTAACCTGAGCGAATGCGACCACAAGAACATTTCCTCCAGCACTCAGTGCAACAGCAAGTGGTAAGATAGTTCGGCCAACACCTTGCCCAAATATCCGTTCAAAGAACAACGCTGCAATCAACTCGCCGCTTTGCTTGATTTCATCAATGGGAACAACGAGAAAGTACGCTACGTTGATGAGTAGGTACATTCCACAAGCCGTCGTCAATGCCGCCACAGTCACAGACCGCAGCGTGCGAACTGGGTCTTTCACCTCGTTGAGAACAAGGTTGGCGTTGTCGAGACCAGCGTAAGAGTAGAACACTTTGAACATTGAGGTGGATATAATACCCCAGTTCCAATTCGTGCCTTCCCACAGGTTCTCCCAGGAGATGATCGGCATCGTCGTTTGAGCCGATTCTGTCGATGGCGCAAAGAGCACAACATAGAACCCACAGACAATCATGAACACGACGAGGCCCACCTTCACCCAGCCCAAGAAGTTCTGAAGCTTGATCCCTAGTCGAGGTACACATCCGTGAATGAAGGTGACCGTCGTAAGAAGCCCAACGGCGAGCGCTTTGCGAAGTAAACCGCTTGGATTGTCACCTCCCAAAGCAAACAAAAGATATTCGCTGAAGACAATACAGTTACTGGCGGTAAATCCTAGGAGGACGACGTGAATAGCGACGAGGGTTGATGCCAAAAACCGCGGTCGACGATAAGTGAATTCCAAGTAGACCTTATCCCCGCCGGACCGTGGTAGCATCGACCCAAACTCCAAGGATATCATCAGCCCACAGGCTGCGATGAGGGCTCCGACGAGCCAAAGTAAAAGAGACAGACCAGGACTGCCCACAGATCGGAGGATTGCACCTGGAGTGGCAAATATGCCGCTTCCGATCACCCTTGAGATCACCAGAATGTAGGCGCTCTGCCAGGTGAGCGTGCGTCCGAGAGTCGAAGCTTCCGGGAGGACATCGTCTTCAATTGATCTCGATGGGTGTGTGTTTCCCGTTGCGAGTTCTGCCTCCGAAATCGAGGGCTTCCCCGACGAAACCGAGTTCTTTGGAGCGCTAGCTGACGAGACAGGCGATGGAGGAGGCGGCGTTATCGACAGCAGAGGCCGCAGCTCGGGGTCGTCGAGGGCACTCATCATAGGGAACTGGGGAACGCGAGCCAGAATAGTTGCTAGGAGTTGTTCCTTCGAGACAATCGTGAAGAATAATTTGTTGGCGAAGAACTGAACATGCGTAACGGCGAGATTCACACCCTGTTATCGAAATGATATCGCTAGCGGCAGCACATGGTTGGAGTCGGGCGGGTTATCATGCCGTCTGAAGAATGAGACAACTGGAGTGTAGGCGACAAGGATGTGCAATGCGGCCTCGTGGAAAGCTTACGCGCACGGCAGCAAAGTGATCCAAGGGAGGGTCATCGGCAAACGACACATGTCCACGGACGTCTGTTGATTGATAAGAATGTGGATACAACAGCTCTTCGATTAAGTCCCGTGAGGTGTGTCTCGAATGGCGCAATATTGTTTCAAGAATGTAAGTTTGGGAGGGCCAGCACAGAGAATGCCCGATCGTATTGGGGCGCGGATTCGCACGCCATCATGGCGCAAGGTGACGAGACATGGGTGCGGCCTTCTTACCTCCCCGATATTGCCTGGCCTGTCTCGACACCTGTTGTAGGTGCCGGACTGCCGCCCGTGCTATGGACCGCCGTGTCCGTGCTACCGCGGAACTTCGGAAGCCCCCACTTCGGCCGAACTCTTCACATGCGTGCTCAACGAGAAGAGCCGTTGCATCCTGTTGTCCTCACCACAGATATGTTATCTGAGTTTGAAGATGTGAATGTCGCGCGAACTATGACTCTTCTAGGAGTTGTACTGCCGAGTTTCAGGGAACATCGTGCTTGAGTTCTCTTAACCCCCGCAGCAGCTCCAAATCAACCCCGTAAACCGATTGCCGAACCTACCGAAGATCGTTCACAGAAATTGGCCAAGGCAACAAAACGACGTCGCATTAGGCCGAATGAAAGATTTTTTCCTAATCATTTTACTAACTACTGCTTGGGTTGAATACAGACTTTGTAGGAACAACGCAAATACCGTCGCATCCTTGCTGACAATGCGAAATAAACCCATAATTGATAGGGTCCTCGTCATGCCTCGGCCCTTGATTGACAAGGCTACCTACTTTTACTGTGTCTGCGCGGCTATTTCCTGTGTTCTTAAGTACCCCTACCTTATCGAAGACCATAGTAGCGACGATAAAGATAGTAGCGATGCCGACGACGACAGTGAGATATAGGCACAGGAAAAGTAGTCGCTCTACCACAGGCGATTGACCCCCATTCACTTCTCGTGTGATGTTTCTGCTATGTCAAGCTTCCCAACGGCCTGGATGAAAGTCCCAATATCTTGGTCGTAATTCTCATGAGACTCCGATCCAACGAGTCTAGGTATTAATAGCTCGACAGTGACAAGCCTAGCTTCCCCGCAGAACCAGTCTGGAAATTGACCCGGAGTTCCTATTGCCCCGTAAGACACAAGCACGGCAATGAGCTCAACCGTGTTCTCGTTAACCAATTTGAGATGCCTAGCAATTTCTCCCACTTGAGCATGGTTGTCCCGGTGCTGCTTTAGCAAGAAGGTTGTTTCTGGCCGAAAGTACCTTTGCTTGGCGACGTCCAGAGCAGAGACTCCATCACTGTTTCGTATCAGAGGATCGGCGCCTGCTTCCAAAAGCCGTTTGACTGACTTATATGCTCCCACCAAACTAGCCATATAAATCGGAGTCATCGCAAGAGGAGAGAAAACATCGTTGACTTGGTGTGGAGCATCATATTTCTCAAGCAACTGGGCGAGTATTATGTCAGACATGTCGTGATGCTTGTGTGGAAAGCCAGCCTCGGTAATACTACACAAGGCTAGGTGCAAAGCTGAAGCTGGTTCCTCGGGAGAGAAAGCAATTCGGAATCCGTCTGAGCCCCCTTTATCGGGTAGGTTCAAGAGGAACTTGATCCTTTCTGCCGCATTCCTGGTTTGCATACGGATCAACCACCCTAGGAATGTCCTATGACTACGGGCCACCCTGTGGTTCTCAGCACCTTGATCGTATAGATACCGAGCTACCGTCAAGTTACCGGAGTAAACGGCCGTCTCGAATGGTGTCCTGTCCAGGGATTGCGAGGTACCGTCAATGGGAACTCCCGTTTCCAAGATGCTGCGTACGGTGCAAATATCGTCTGACTCCTTGGCGGTCCTCACCAGAGAACTGTCTCCCCAGCGACCTAGAATTGTCGTACTGGCTCCGCCGTCCAGCAGTGCTTTGACCATTTCGTGATCACGATGATTGATGGCCATAAAAAGAGCAGTTTCTCCACCAAAACCAACATCGATCTCCGCATCAAATCCACAATCCAGACCAGCAAGCATAACGTCAGCTGCACATTGATGAAATGCAACAGCATAAACAGCGGGCATTTTGGTGCTGCCTACTTCCAAAACAGCATCCGTGGGAGCTCCGTGGCCGACAAGTAGAGAAATAGTGTCTCTCGTCTCATCCTCAAAATTTAGACCGTGTCGTAGGAGCCGTGACCAACGGGAACTTCCTTGTAAAGGCCCAAAGAGGGGTCGAATGACTACCTCCTTTCCTTGGACCATCGGTACCGTGTCTAACACTCCTTCACTGGCCCCTGGGCTTTGTAGAATCCGACAGAGAATCGCCGAATGACACATGTAAGATGCCATCTGCAAGGAATTCAATGGCACCGAGTTGCTGACCTTGCAATCTGCACGGAACAGAGGGTCTGAACCAACAGCTAGCAGTGCATCAACTGCTGCCAGATTCTTCGCTGCGACTGCCCAGTGCAACGGAGTCCATTCTTTCGTGGCATTGGCAGGTCGAGGTTGGAAATTTTTCAAGTACTCATCCCGCACATACGTAACTGCAAGTGCGTTCGGATTTCCACCTTGCTTGTGCAGCAGGTGCGCTATAGGGCCTGTGTCGGAATCGGGAAAAACACAGAGCCAATGCAACGGACAGATACCCGAGGTGTCTCCTATGCTGGCATCTACTTGCTTGTTGACCAGCAGCTTGACGATATCCACTCGGGCAAGTCTACATGCAACTAGCAGTGGGCTTTCACCAGCTTGCGAGACTGGCTGGTTGAGCAACTGGGGATTGTTGCGGATGAGTTCTTCCACCATGTCGCCCCTTTCGTGGATTATGGCCAATACCAGTGACTGCGATGTGGAAAGCTGTCCCTCACATTGCCCGTCAACGACTGCCTGCTGTGACTGAAGGAGACCAAAGCCCTCGGATTCCAAACGCCTCGTCTGGCTTACTTCCTGAGCTGATCTCCAAGACGAAGCTGATGCCGCTTTCAGCTTTTCGAGTGCCGTGTCACTGCCTAATTCAGCGGTTCTTTTGAGCCAATCGACCCACAGGCCCAAAGGTACCGTAGCATCTGGGGGTCCTTGATGGTCGAAAATGTTGATGAGCGTTGTCTGTGCTTGCTCGTGGCCCCATTTCGCGGCACGGAGTAGGAAGTCATTAGCCGTATTAATGTCGAAACGAACTCCAACACCATTGACGTGAGCAACAGCAATGCTGAATGCAGCAGCAGCTCTTAGCTTGTCGTTGGTGGAGGTGGAGCAGATGGACTCCAAGCTCTGAACGAGGTCTTTCTGGATGCGCTTGGGCATCTTTTGGTAAATACCGGCAGTATTTCGCAGCTTGGAACGCTTCAGCATACCAGTCTAACTTGGTGACAAAGTAGACACTGGGCACTTACATCGGGAATGAAGTCTAAGCCACGTCGAAAGTTGAGTTTGTCATGGACCCTGTTTGCTCTTAACATTAGGTAGTTTCTGCTTATGCTCCCTTGGTTACTCGGCTTACATTAGTTGCTGGGAGCTTACCGCCGACTCTTGCTCTGAAATAGAACCTGGGTCGGGTGTCAGGCCTGTCAGGTCGACTAAGAACGAGACGAAAGACTTGACAGAAACCTCAGTGCTCTCTTGTTGATCTCGGGCTCCACCGCATGCCTTAACAAGGCCACCCATAACCCGCTTCTCAATGAGATTATAGAGAGAATTCCCAAAGCTATCGCCCTGCATAGCTGTTTTGTTTATGAGGAGAAGAATCTGGACTACCTGTGCAGTAGTATCGTGGAGTTTCTTAGCATCAATTGCCGGCATTCTAACCGATCCAGAGCCCGGCTGGAGGTTTCCGATAACTCCTTCCGCGAGCCTGTGGCAAACGGTAGAAAACACATCCGCCGGTGTCCCCTGGATGATAGGAGTCTTGGAAGTGAGCTCCTGAAGTGAGTCGAGTGCTCGTTGTACCGGGGGACCATCCCCAGAATCCGAAGGGGCAGATTCGAGAGAGCTTGCTGCATGTCTCAAAACTTCAAGTAGACTCAAGATCCGATCCATGGATTGAAATCGTCTGCTGGGAGATGCTTGCAAACTGTAGCGCCATATTTTACAGAGTATCATCAGAGGTAGATCATCATTTTGATGGCTATTGAGTACGCGCAAGGGGATGAAGGTTGACATGATACCCGAGGACTTCATCTTTCTTAGATTATCCTCGAGTCCTTCAGTGGGAAAGCTGTCATAGAAGGCCGAACCTGATTCGAAGATGGTGAGCAAAGTGAGGCCATAGCAGTAAATATCCAGCTGCTCTAAGTAGGGCGGACGAATGTTCTCTCCGTATGACTCAGGAGCACAGAAGAACTCCGAGTGTCCGATAATATGGGTATCACCACTGGAGAGTGAAAATCCAAAATCGGAAAGTTTGACGATGAAGCTCCTGGTCTCGTGCCTGCAGACCAGAAGGTTGGAAGGCTTCACGTCGCCGTGAATAATACCGCAGTCATGCAGCGCCTTGAGGCCTTGAGCAGTGTCGATAGCAATTTGAATTTGGTCAACAAATGATGAACCGCCGCCCTGTTCCTGGAACGTTTTCAGGCTTCCGTGCTCTGCATATTCAAGGACCAGAGCGGGCATTATGCGTGGTACGCCGGGCAAGGGCTCCCCAGTGTCATGATACATGACAGCCAACAGTTCAATGATATTGTCGTGTCCTTTCAAAGGCGGGTGGCGTAGAATCTGCAGCTCAGTGGCCGCGTCCGCGAATGCACCGCCGTCGCCTTGTGCTGTTGCGAAGCTGGCTTTGGGATGCTTGACAATGACGAAGTCCCGCCCTTTAAGAATGCCCTCCCCCAGGCCGCTCAAGAATGATGAAGTTTTGACTTTTCTGACATCGAAAGACCCGCCACCGATTGTTACATCTTCAAATGTGGGGAGAATATTGGTGATGAATGGGTGTAGGCCCAGATCGGTGTCTCCACTGAGGCAAACACTCAGAAATCCAGCAAAGTGAGGGCATCTCGAGCTTCCACCAATATTGTCCGCATTGCTCCCGACGATCGAGTCATCTATGGGGCTTGGAACGGGTGCTTTCTGCCGAAATGTCGGAAGACCACTCTGGGAAAAGTCCATACTTCGTAGTCTGCAATAGTTTGGTTAGCCAGAGTGCTTGGTTGAGCACCGGAAAATGACAGCGGTTCATAAAGTGCAGCTGGGGAACGGCAGCCTGCAGGTGGTTTTCAGCTCCTGGCCCCGCACCACCCGAGCTGAACACAAACACGTCATATGATCTCTGTGATTGAAGAACGCATGATCCGATAGGCCAAGCGAAGGATGACCCCTGACAACTTGTGCATATACGGACGCGCCACAATCTTTGAGGAAATCACATTTTCCCTCAAGCACAATACTCCTCACAATGTCCACTGAATTCCAGATTGGCGTTGCGGGCCTCGGTATTGGGGCCTTCAGCGGTATTCTCGATGTGCTGTCGTCTTGCAATAAGCTGTACGGGATGTGGCGAGCTATGCGCGGTCTCGACAGCCATTTGAACATCCTTCGCGCAAAACTCCTGTTGCAACATGCCCTCTTGGAACAGTGGCAGCGGGACTGGCTCATATTTCCAGTCACTCTACGCCAGACCCAAAATGCCAGGAGGCAAAGTTTGGTTAAACTTCACGAGCTTGCAATCATCGAGACGTTGAACGCGACTCACTCCTTGCTGCAGGATCTCGAACCCCTCCTGCATGCTACATCACAGAATGAGAAGATGAAAACAGGAATGATTGCTACTGCGAATCGGATGGTATGGGCAAGCAGCAAAGCCTTAGACAGCCAGAAGACTTTGGACCAACTTGAATCTCTGCTGGGTGGTCTTTACCGACTCCTTCCACCCCGAATCCCGAACACTGAGGCATCGCAAGTCATCCTTTCCATCGAGGATATTACCGACGACATGGGAACCGCGGAAACGCTTCCAAGCACTGAAACTTCAAAGTTACAGCTCGCAGGCCCTACATCAATTGTTGAATCCTCGATACTGCAAAAGGCTATCAGTTTTCGGAATCTCAACACTGAGCTCGAAGAAGACCTCAACAACCGTATCCGCAATTTCATGCACCAAAGATCAACAAAGAACCTTGCCATCAAGGGATCGCGGATTCAAGTCAAGCGAAATGATGATATATCAGCTGGCTTGCGAAGCTTCGGAATTCTTGATGGGATGGAGTCCGTCATCATCGAATGGAAAACGTACGACGCTAGCTGGCAGGGCCAGAAAGGCATCGCTCTCACTGGCAGAATTCTCAACATCTCTCATCTTCTTAACTCCGAAACCAAGCCAGTGGAACTTCTAACGATGAAGTGCCTTGGATTCTTTGATGACCCGCAACGGAACGCATACGGATTCGTATTCCGTTTACCCCCCGAGAGCACTTCGTCTTCGATCGAAGCCCAGATGGTTTCGCTGAAAGCGCTACTGGACACGCCAAGTCCAGACAACCTGCCGACATTGGAAGATCGATACAATGCTGCTTATGCACTTGCACTGTCGCTTTCGGTCATTCACGGAGTGTCGTGGCTTCATAAAAGCATACGAAGTCACAACGTATTGTTTCCTATCTCAGCCAGTGGGCGGCCTATTTGGTCTCGACCTTACATCGTAGGCTTTGAGTTTTCCAGGCCCGACAGCGTTGATGAATCATCAGAGAAGCCTGAACAAAGCGCCAGGTTCAATGTTTATAGACATCCAAAAGCGCAAGGAACGCCTGGCGAGGGATATCAGAGAGCATTCGATATCTACAGCTTGGGTGTCATACTGACTGAGCTTGCGATGTGGCGCCCGATATGGAAAATGTATAAAGATGGTATGGGATCCGAAACATTCCAGAAAGCATTGGTCAGTAAGGTACATGATTGGGTTGCGCACTTGATGGGCTCACAGTATTCAAACGCGACGCTCACATGCTTGGGAGAAACCATTGAGAATAGCCAAGACGGAACTGTCCAGTCATTTTACATCAATGTTGTGGAAGTGCTGGGGCGTGTTGTAGCTGAAACTATATGAGGTAACTACCCAATTTTTGAGCTATTTCATATATACAATCCAAGCAGGCAAATTGAGCCGTAATGTCAGCACCAGTGGAGGCTGGCAGGCTTGAAGGATATGTTACTCGCCGGACACCGGACGGTGCAGCGTGTGATTTGTGGGGCCGAAACGCCGGGTTGGATTCCCAAAACCGCCCGGTAGACTCAGATTATGGTCCCAACCCTGATAGGCGATGTATTGTATGGAGATGCAAACTGTGATGAGCCTTGTGTCAGTGAGGTTGATATTTTCGGACCGACAACCCTGACATTTATCATGGGCTTGTGTGCTGAAAGTTGAGACAAACGCGGACTCGGAACTACTGTTACGCGCTCCCTACTTCAATACATCTCGGGGTGGGAGAGTTGTTGATCGTGAGTTGGCAAGATACATAAATAGCATATTCAATGAGCAGCCTCCTAAAGCTATTGCATCGTAGTATATAACGCAAGAGCAAACTAGTCTCATGGATGCACATCCATGATCCCATGCAGGCCACATCAAATGACTTTGTCGGGCGTCTCTGGAGAGGATGACACAACACCCGCCTCCGCGTGATCGATCGGGTGATCTTTCTTTGCTGCACGAACCAAGGCCGGATTCTCAGCCTTGAGCTCAGCAAATTTCTTCTCTGCGTCCCAGTTCCAGATGCTGTCGCTGGCAAAAACGAGATCCATCTCCTCCAAAGTGCGCTGGTTGGACTCTGGATATAGGGCCCAAACGATAACGATGCAGAGAACATTAACGGCGCCGAAGAGGTAGAGGGTTTTCTCGTTAAGTTTCTCGAAGATCGTTGGAAGAAGCAGTACCTAGGTTGATCGTCAATGAGTAAACAGGTTGAGTGGTGTTTCTTGAGGATGCTAACCGTCCACCCATTTCCGATAGACCACCCAACAACACCCCAAGCATTACCCTTCGCGCGGACTTGAAGAGGGAATATTTCGGCCGGATAGAGCCAAGGAACAGTAAGCCTTCAAGAGGTGAATGTAAGTATGGGCAACTCAAATAAGATGCGGGTTCGACTGACCACGTAGCACCGAAAATGGCAGTGTATAAGAAGACGAAGAATGTTGCAGCGCCACCGATTCTAGAACGATTCTCGGGGTCGGCATTCAAAGTTGCGCGAGCTAATCCGCCGGCACAAAACATGCATATTCCTTGCCCGGCTGCGCCCCAGTACAAAGTCCAGCGCCGACCAATGCGATCAAGAGTGAATACACAAATCAGGGTCGCGAACTACCATCGATTAGTCAGTTGAAACAAAACGAACAGGAAATGAACAGATTGTTCACATACCATATAAGTAATGTTGTTGACACCGCTAACCCAAAGGCGCTGTTCAGAGCTTATACCGGCAATGGTAAAGATCGTAGGCCCATAGATTGTGATGCCGGCAATGCCAACCCACTCCTGAAGAATCTGCAGCCAAACCACAAGCTGCACGCGACGAGCCGTGTGCAACTTTCCAGAGCCCCAGCCAAAGAACATCGCAATATAGCTCTGCTGCTTGGCAGTATCATGTTCCAAAGCTTTGATGTTGATGATATCCTGAAGTTCGGCCTCGGCCAGCTCACCGTCTTCACCTTCATTACCACGGAGTCTCCCAAGAATAAAACGGGCCTCTTCCTCACGCCCCACTTTCACGAGCCATCGTGGCGACTCGGGCATGAACCATATCATGAGAAACAGAGCAATCAAAGGGACAATCTGAAACGCAATCGGGAATCTCCAGATGAAAGAAGACGTAGGGTCTTTGTACTTTGATGTGCCGCTGAAGAACCGTTAGTTCAGTTGACTGTCCTTGTTTCTGTAAAACCCACAATTGCAGCCAGTATGCAACAACTACACCGAAAATGTTCAGCGTGAATTCCATAGCCACGAACATGCCTCGTGACGTATGGGAGGCGATTTCAGTTGCCCAGACGGGCGTGATAGCGTTTAGCATGCCGGTGCCGATGCCGTTTAGGACTCGAGCTGTGGTCTTGATCAACAATGGTGATGCCAATATCAAGAGAGAACAGTGAGTTCTTACCACAAAACATCCAGTTCGCATTCTGAGCAGCTGACTGCAGGGCAGCTGTAAGAATGGACCAAATGCAAGCGACTCCGATAGTTTTGAGCCTTCCGTAGCGATCACCAAACCAGCCACCGATGAGGCAGCCTACAAGTGTTCCGGGGAGGTAATACACGGCAACCTGGCGCTGAATGAGACATTGCAATATGACAATATGGTTGAGAACTCACAATTCCACCTTGTAGCAACGGCTTGTCCACCACGACAATTTGTTCGTTTTCGTCCCAATGGCCAAAACCCATGAGCTCAGCATAATCCCGCGCGGTGTTGACTCCTCCCATCAGTCCTTGGTCATAGCCAAAAAAGAAGATTGAAACACCGGCGACCAAACACACAGTGTTCAGTAACGAGGCCTTGTAAAGCCTGTTGGCGACGTTGTACCGCCCGAGGCGGCCCGGAATGCTGGACATTGTGACAGCTACTTGCACTGTTGGAATAGGGAACCAGTAATTTGTCTTTCTGTTGGAGTGCAAATTTCTCAACTCTTGGGGACGAAGAGATGATGTGTGATCGGCTCACGGGCAATGAGAAACGGCAAAGGTCGGGTGAAGGCCGGGGCATTTTCCGAAGCCTGCAGCGGGGGCGGGGCATGGCGTTCATTCGCTCCACCGAACAAGAGTCCGCAACGGTTCGGGGGGACAATCATTTCTTTTTGTGGCATGATCAAGTGATGCTATGCACCTGTGAGCAGTGATCCAATTCGCACGCATAGCAGTCCGGGCAGAACCCCGAAATCCCCGATGTCGCTGAAAACCATCCCCAATGCACTGCGTTTTAGAGAAGGCTTCAGTGACTGACATTGTTCATCTCGATTAAGCGATCCAACGGAACAGATCAACCCCGCTACCCACGATGTCGAACCGGCCATCCCCGCTCAAGAGTCAAGTGAATCGGTTCTTGACTGACCCCCGCACCGAACGTCGGAGCCGGGGAGGCTCTTCTGTTGCATGCATTCCGGTTTGGGAAGTTTGAAGCGCAGCAACATGTAGCTGGTGAACTCATCGCGAAGGCTACTTTTCGAAGACGTCCATGACGTCAGATCATCGGTGTTTGGCTTTGTTTTGCTTTGCAGCATTATCTGCGTGAATGTGGGGCGACGGTCGTATGGAACACCGCATATTAAACCCGGAAAACACGCGGCGCATTTTCGCTCAAGAGCGCTGGAAATATGTGGTATTGAGGGACGAGCGGCCAAAAGAAAATTGCGGCCGCGATCTTGAGATAAGAAATAAAAACGCTGTCAATTCATTCTGGTGGCGGTGCACATCTATTTGCAGCCGGATGGTCGGACGTAGGCGTGGTTCTGGGAACCGCCAGCAGAGTTGCCAGAAGCAGGCCCTTGATAAGTGCTGAGCAAGCTGCAAGATGTGGAACTGCCCTGGTAGAATGATGCTGCAACGCAAGCTGCGTTTGCGGCACATTTTGAAATGCAGTCGCCCAAGCTAGTGGCATCAACGTAACCAAGATAATCTCCGGAGGCCAGCCTGCCACAGTAGATTTGGAATTTCTTGGAGCTCGATGTCAAACAATAATTGTTGTTAGTAGAGCACGTCGGGTTGCTTGATGCCGTGCCGGCACATGCTGGTGCAGGGCAGGCCGAGCAAGTTCCAGGAGAGAACGATGTCTGGCAGCCAAACCCGCAAAAGTCGCTTGATGTGCCACAATATCCGTTCTTCGAACTGAAAAAAACAGAAGTCAGTCATCTTTGCTACTGGACCATCAGCAGCCATGTCCCATGAACTCACCAACACGTTCCCGATGGACAAATATATCCGTTTGAGCCACCGCAGCTGTTATCTGGGCTTGTTTTGCTGCCCGTTGACGCAGGCTTCGCAGCGGAAGTAGTGGCGCCACCACCACTCGACGCAGAACAGGTTCCGAAGGAGCTTTGGCAGCCAGCAGCACAATGGTCGCCTGACGAGCCGCAGTATCCCCACTGGCTGCAGCAGTCGCCAAAGCTGCTTCCTTGGCAGGTGAACCCCGCAGTCCCACCGCAAGTTCCATCTTGGCTTACTGATTTCCCACCGACGGTGATCGAGCTGCAATCTCCGAACTTGGACTGGCAGCCGTTGAGGCAATGGTCATCTGAGTTACCACAGTATCCCCACTGACTGCAGCAGTTGCCAAACGACCCGCCTGTGCAGGTGTACGCGTTGATCCCTCCGCAAGTCCCATCTGGAGAAATCTTCGTCGAGGAAGACGATATTGTCGTGCATCTGCCAAACTTAGACTGGCACCCGGCCCCACAATAGTCATCGCTGACTCCACTGTCGACGGTGTCAGTCGTTATTCTGTGAAGGCTCATCTCATGCAGATCATGTGCAATACATACCACCAGTTGTATTGACTGCAACACAATGAACCGGGACATGTCAGCCCTTTGGTGCCTCCACAGGTGTTGTCAGTTGAGACGGCTGCGGCTGTAATTCCCACCAGAGAGAAGAGCGCGGTGACGATAGAATTGACCATTTTCTCCTAAGCACGATGTGTTTCGTTAACAGAACGTGTAAATCAATTATTTCTGAGATAAGTGGCCGTTCTTGAGTCTGGTTGATGAGGAAGTGAGGATGGAAGCCGATAAGAAAGCAACTAGCTTATAGCGACATATTAAGGTGACTGGCTACTTCTGTGGTTGCTGCTTGCGAACAAAGACATTCCGACGCGCCCATTGCATTGCGTCGACACGGTTCTGAGGATATGTCATAATTATCTATCGTGCGCAGAAATTAGAATTCGCTAAGTTATGAACTTTTAGGTAGCTATAATGTCTCTTACGTAAGTGGCTAGTAGATAACCTACAGCTTAGCGTTCGTTTTGGGTTTGAGATGCTAGCTTAATTGCTTGTAATTATTTGATGTCTCGACGTATCTCCATGCTAGTCCTAGCTAGTGATTAGCATTATGACCTATGCTTATTATGTGAAATTATTGCTGCTTCTATCGACTTTGTTTTCTTCTCTGTGGTATAGGAAAATAGATATGCATTCTGTTAATAGCTGTGATTATTATTAATTACATCTAAGCTCCTTTATTCCCTTCTTACGTTAAAGGATGCGATTAAGTTGCTACAGCTAGCCTAGTAGCGCATATCCCTTCCTATCTAGCGTAATAGTGTGTTATACTTAATTAATCTAAACCTAAGACGTTAGTATTAATAGTACTATACCTAAGCTTGCAGTGATAATATGCTAACAAAAAGCTGTTTGTTCCTATTATATTCTAGATATGCTGTTATTAAAGTTAGGTTAGAGTGCTCGACACATAGGCCTAATGAGAAAATATTACAAGAATAGTGAGGATATGACTGATTGTTATGCAAAGAGTTAAAGGCGTTATTAGCTAGCAGCATATTATGAGCCTCTAACTATAAAACATAACATCTGCTATAATAGCAACCTATTTGCTAGTAGGTATCCCTAGAAATAACGCCTATAATGCTATCTTTATGCGCTCTAACCTTTTATAGGACTAAGATCTAACTTTAAGACGTTATTTATTAGTGTTTCCCTAACTCTCTGCATATCAGTATAGCTTTGCTTAAAATTCCTAGCAAATAGAGGCGCGTAATAATTCCTTATTAGGAACTTTACACTCCTACTAGTAATAAGACGCTACATAATAATCTATCCTCATTTTAGGCTAGATTGCATATCAGGCAAAGTAAGCCTAGTTAAATGTTCAGTTATAGTTTTCCTTAGCTTAAGAAGTAAAAGCAAATTTTAGGTCTTAAAAGACCTTAAAAACTGCAGAACTCTTAGACACTTCTAGCTTAAATATTTTTAATATAATCGCATAAAGCTTATACAATCGAAATATATCTCTTATTTATTATTCTCTTTATAGCTTTTATATTCCTAGCCTTTGCCTTACCTGCAATCTCTAACGTGCTATAAGCTAATATAATAATCTCAGCTTCCCCTAACTAACAGTATTTATATTAGACTAAGACTAGTTAGCTATTTTTCTAGATTGCAGATACAAACTAAGAACTCTTCTATAAACTAAATAAAACTGATGTTAATATCTATCTTTTAGACTGCGCTGCTAAAGGCTTCAATATAATCTAGGCAGTTATCTTATTAAAGTATAACGTCACTACTATACTAAATTTCTATAGATATCTTACTATAGATAATGCAAATTTTACTTAGCCTAACCTATAGTATTTCAAATATATTAACTGGATTGTTACTTATGCTGCAGAGTATAGAATTCTTATCTGCTTTATTCTAACCTAGGGTTAGTATATTAACTAGGGCTAGTATAGCACTACTAGGTATAAATTATTTAATAAGGATACTACTGAGTGGTTTAGCTGATTTCTAGGTAATTAATACCCTAGAATTCTAAAAATAATAGGTGGTGATTTAAATAGTTTCTAGGCGAATAATATACCTTAGGCTTATGCAGCTTAGCGTGAGGATCCTAAGTTTAACCTAAAATCTTATCTCAGACTAATTAAAGATATTAGATTAATATAGGCAGCTATAATGAGAGGATTTATAGATAAGGAAGTAAAGATAGGTTATAATGTGTTTGTTACGTTTCAGCCTACTAGCCTTTAGATAGCTGACCTACCTACCCCTCTGCTATATAGATATAACGTAAGGAAATTAACCTATATTAAGAATGCGTTCTAATATACCTTATTGCAGTATATTAAAGGAAGTTTAGGGAGCTTAAGTATAGATACTATTTAATTAGGGCATAAAAGTTTAGATCCTATAGGTGTTAACTCTGCCTTCACTATCCTTTAGCTATAGGACTTACATAAGAACTATAAAAATATCTTTTAAATGCAAAATAAGTTCTCTAGCTTTATAATAGACGTTGAGAATTATTATGAGGGAGCTTATAATTCATTTAATATAAGCAAATAAGTATAGAATGAATTAGATATCTAGCATAGCTTTTACCCTATAGTGTTTTCTAGGGCTTATAGGGTTATATTTAGTTCTCTTCCTATCTAACAGTTATATAAAAACATTTCTCTTATTACTAGGCCTAAACATTATATGCTACTGCAACTTAGGCTGTTTAAGAATATAAGTTAGTATGAAGCGCTTAACTAGCTTAGCATAAGGCAAACTAAATATGTTAGCTATTTGCTAGTAGATCTAATAGATAGTTAATTTAAAGATCTTACTCCTACTTATAAGCTGATATTATTGCTAGCAACTTCAGCAGATAATATACTAGCATTTAAGGCTAATCAGTATATTATAAGCATAATAATAATCAGATGCTTCTAGGTATATAGTAGATAGGGCGACGCTTTTGAAGTTAATATTTAAGCTTTAATAGTAAGATAGGATTTAACTTCTATATAGATTACTATTAACTAGTTTAACCTATAAATAGCTATGCTAATAAATGTAGGAATAATTAATATGTTATTAATAGGTGGGAGGATAACTTTTATAGCTCTAAGTTGTAGAGGGATAGATTTTAACTAGGTCTTATGTTTAAAGGCTGTCTGAGTGCTAATAGAAGAGCTTAAGGGGAACTACGTTAGATTAAGCTAGTTTAGTACTGCATCGCTAGTAAAAGAAAATAAACGTTTCACGAAATATTTATTTTATCTAGACCTACTAAACTTTTTTAGTCTTAGAGATTCTACTCTAGGTCTATCTAGAGGTTGTATTGCTTATAGACTACTTATAACTTTAAAGCAGTAGAAAATTATATTAAAGCAGAGAACCCTCTTAAGGTTATAAGTACTATATAGATAACACTACTATATTAATTTTATAAACTCTATAAAGTTATAATAAATATATATTGCATTACTTATTAAGCGTTATTTAGGTAGGTCTTAGCGAGGGATTAATATATATATCTTAGGAAATACCTTATATTTATACTATATACTACCTGAAGGTAGGGTAGGCTTAAGCATAAGACTACTACTCTAATACCTAGCTTGCTAATAGACTTCAGATAAATTTAATTATATAATCTCTTAGCGCTAAAATCTAGGTAAATAATCTATTAGGCTGATAAATCTTCTAGGAGTAAGTTTGCAACTAACGTCTAATTAAGTAGGGGATTACATTTAAAAGCTTTCTTATATAATTTATAGATTAGCCTATTAGTATTATATCTTATTAGATAATTTAGATATTAAACGCCTAAATAAGCCTAACTTACTAAATAGGAGTTCTAAAGACATCACTTATATTATAAGATCCTTTAAACGCTAAGCACTTTAAGTAGATATTTAACTAGAGGGTTATATACAGCTAGCAATATGAGGAGGTTCTAGAATAAAGAAATAAAACTATTATGAATTAAAAGTTTCTTTATTAGATCGTCTGTTCTATATTTTCTCTAGAATAAATTCATCTCTAGATGCTAATATTCAGAAGATACTTACTAGTAATATTTCTTAGCGAGACAACCTGCTTGCAAAGCATATATTATAACCTGTTATATATAGATAACAGTTAACTAACCTACTTAGGCATTAAGCGGCTAGGATAGGATATTTATACTACTAGATTATAAGAATAGTAAGGACTTACTTAGGGATAGAAGAACTATAGTATAAATCACATAATAATAAAATAATAATTATATTAGATTAATATAATCTAATATAACTTAAGAACTAAATAATTATTTTAGATTAAAATAATTTAGAATAACTTAAAGTATAAAGGAATATATTTAGAATTAAACTTATATATAGTATAACTTTAAGCCTAACTTATAGTTAGATTTCTATAGCTTTTTAGTAATTAACTTAATATTTATCCTTAAGATACTCTTAGTTTATTTTTACTATAAATTACTTATTAAACTTAAAACTAATTATTTTAACTTCTAGAGACTTAATTTACTATAGTTTATAACTTTTAACTTAGATTATAACTTAGTATACTATTAGAACGTATTAATCCTTAGTTTTTATTAGTAAACTTTACTATTAAAAAGCTAACTATAATATTTTAATTACTTTTATTTAGTAAGTTAACTATTAATTCCTACTAATAGTAATAAATAATAATATCTTCTTATACTTCTATTAAATTACTTACTTTTAAACTTTTATCTACTTCTAGAAGATAAGCTACTTAAAATTTAACTTAAAAACTAAAAAATTAGAAAATAAAGAATAACTTAGATAGTATAAATAATACTAAAAAGCTTAAATACTAGCTTAATAAAACTAATAATAACTTTAAAGTAATATATAAAATATTTAACTAAAACGCTATAGTTTTTAATAAACTTTAAAAATAAGTTTATAAAAACTAAAACTTAAGAAAAGAAGTTACTACTTTCTAAGCTACTACTAATATTATTTTAACTTTAGTTAAAAAATAAGAATAACTTAAGCTTAACTCTTTTATTATTTTTAATAGAATTTTAAAATAACTTAAAGGATATTTAGTTTAGATATAAACCTATTAAGCTTTCTATATAAGTACTTTTTAGAATAAAACTAAATAAGTAATATATATAGCT